ATCAAACCTGGTTCTCCCAGATTAGAGTCTGCGCACTTAACCACTACACCAAACCTTACAGCACCACCTCCAGGGGGCACCACTGGGCCTGCCAATATGGATGCATACCAGCCCTGCTCACTGGCTGACTCTACAGGTGGCTGTGTCTGACCGTCTGCCCTTCCCCCCAGCGTGCGGCGCAATGGGAGGGCGAAAAAGGGCTTACAAACTCCTTTCCCTTCCCCCCCACAACAGACACCCTGTGAGGTAGGTGGGGCTGAGAGAGCTCAGACAGAAACTGCCCTTTTTCAATAACAGCTGTGCCAGAACTGTGGCTTGCCCAAGGTCATCCAGCAGGTGCAAGTGGAGCAGTGGGGAATCAAACCTGGTTCTCCCAGATTAGAGTCTGCGCACTTAACCACTACACCAAACCTTACGGCACCACCTATAGGGGGCACCACTGGGCCTGCCAATATGGATGCATACCAGCCCTGCTCACTGGCTGACTCTACGGGTGGCTGTGTCTGACTGCAGTGGAAGGGAGAAAAAGGGCCCAGTGGCCACGAGGCACCCAGCAGCTGCTGCCTCCACCGCCAAATAAACTCCGGCAAGGTCCTGGAGGGATGAGAAGACAAAGGTGGGATTTTGGGGGCACCCAACAACACCTACAGCACAAAGGCCTTTTTCACCCGCCCCCTGCCGCCATGCTGAGGCGGTTTACGCAACTCCATTGGCGCTGCCTCCTCCCCTCCCCTCCGCAGCCCGGACTCCGGCAGGCAACTGGCTCACCAATCTCGCAGTGCCTGGCTTCACACTGCAGCCCTCCCTCGTCCTCCCCGCCACTTCCCCCGGCACACTGAGCCGGCCAGTCAGCCCCTCCATCGCCACCGCTGCAGCAGCTGTCCTCCCTCCCGCTGCCCAGATTCTCCCCCTCCCTCCTGTGCCCTTTCATGTTCCCGCCGTCTAGTCCTGATGAACGAGCCCCCTCCTCCTCCTTCCCCCTCTGGTTCCCCCCCACGATGCCCCCATCTTTGCCCCCCACACCCCCATGAAGAGAAAGAACAGGCTGTCTTCCATGTGTCTCTGTGTGATAGGTGTTTGCCTCTTCTATTTTTCTCCAGATCCCCCCTCCCG